AGAGGGCCGAGTATTACGTCCTCAATTTGTTTTGTGGACGTCGGAGGCCAGAGGACATTCAGGCATGTTTAGAGTGGACACACTACGACGTTGATTTCACAGTCTCGGTCCTGTCCATAGACATTGCTATTGACCCAGTCCTTGGGAACATGATGCGACCCCAGACCTTGGAGGTCTGGAAAGAACACATCCGAGCGCGCAGGGTGGTCCTCTCTGGAGGTGGGCCTCCCTGCGAAACCTGGTCAGCCATCCGATGGGCTCGGAACATGGGGCACCCACCACTGCGGTCCCACGACGATTTCTGGGGCATGCTTGCCATTACACCGCGTTTGCCGTTCACCTAGCAGTAGGCACATGTTGTTGGATGGAGCATCCAGTACCAGCGTCGTGGCGACAAGAGGCCGTGAGCTCATTCTTGTGCCCACCCTTGCGCGCGATCATGGCATCACCTGCGGCCTCTACCACCGACTTCGATCAGCGCGAACACGGACAATGTGCTCGCGCGCCTACACGGATATTGGCTTTGAGGATGTGTACGCTGCATGATCGCCTTTTGGAAACGCCTGAACGCGGACGGTGCTCACACGGACAGAACGCCCACGAAGTGCTCATGGACTTCGACGGTCAAAAGAGGGAATGGCGGACGGCCAAAAAGAAGACATACCCCCCCGCGCTTTGTCATGCATTGGCCGACGGTATAGTGGATGCAGTCAATCATATGCGTGTGACGAGCGACCCGCAAGCATGGCCAGAGGATATGGGGGAGGAGGAAGAGGCACTCCGTGGGGCACTAGAGGCCTCTTACGTTGCTTGGGACCCATATCTAGGCACGAACGAGGACTGGGCCCCCGATTTCGTAGGAGCTACGACGCGACGTCTGCGCGCCGACCCTGAAAGCTCCAGGTTCTCACCCCCAGAGCTCACAAGGGAAAGGCCAGATGCCGACGTGCCTGCGCCGTCGCCCGTGCATGACCCCAGTGCCGCGCCTCGGCAGGCAGGGCCTGCTGAGGCAGACGAAGAGCAGGAATACGCAGACGCCATTGCCTTTCTAGAAGGCGCAGCGACTCAGTCACATGTTGCACCTACTTCCGCCCCCCCTCCTCTGCCTATCCCAGTCCAGCTCGCGGATGCACAGCGCGAAATGATTCAACGCAAACGCGCTGAGGCCAGGAACAGACGTAAGGCGCGCCTTGCTGCACGCATTGCTCCATGGACGCTGCAGCGAAATTTCGGCAGCGGCATCCTGGGCTAAGTGGAAGGATGGGTGGAGGTTAGACAGTGGGACAGGTTGGGTCTCGAGAGAGGGAGATGCCTCCCCCCCCCTGTTTTGCTCTCTCACTGCCAGCCGCTATCCCTCTTGCCGCACTGCGTCTCTGCGACAATGAAGTTGTCTATGTGGCGTTGACCCCTACCACCAGATTTGCCAGGTATGTCAGAGGCGGCTGTTTTCAAGCATGCCGCCATGGCTAGTGCCATGGATGTTGCAGGTACAGCGGTTTCAGGTCCAGGCCCCTAGAATGCTAGCTTGTGGGAACCACACTGGGAGTTTCGAAGGGGCGCTGAAGTTCTCTGGCCGCACATGCACTTCTATGGACGACGCAGCCGGTTCACGGCAGCGACATCCTACGTTAGTAGCTGGTGGGGGGGAGTTTCAGGTCAGGTTGGAGGAGGTCGTGGAGGGATACGAGCGAGGAAGCGACCTGCTCCTTTTGTTCGCTCTCTCGCTCTCTCGCCGCCAGCCGCCCCGCCCCTCGCCGCCCTGCACATCATTGTACCCTCCCTGCCTGCCTCTCGTGCTGATTGATCAGTCAGACACATACGAAGTGCCTGGGTGTGGGTCAGGTCCAGGTGGCCCTGGTAAGCAAGCAACCAGGGCCTGTGGGGCATGGACCCCCGCACATGCAGTCCTCCCCCTGTGACCGAGTGCGCCCCCCCCCAGCTGGTGCGGCCTCTCCAAGGCTGGCCGGTGGGGGGCAGCTCCGTTGCGGCCCCCCCCGCCCGCGAGGTACAGTGGACGGCTCGCCAGCCTGCTAGCGAACATGCCCTCTCTTGTTGCTTGCTGCCAGCCTCTCTCATTCTCTTTTTGAAGGGACGGATGCTTGGCGGGTCAGTCGGGTGGTTGGGCAGATCGGACAGTCAGCGGGCACACGCTTTTGCGCACAAGGTCATGCCATTTTGGCAGCTTATCGCTTTGTGATTCCTTGGACAGGGAACAAGCGACACAACGCCTGCAGGACCGCCGTCTCCCTTTGCGCAGCCTGCCTTGCCGACCAGTCCCCAGTCCTAGCGCAGACCACGATTTTCAGTCGATGCTATGCCAGCCTGTTCGTCTTTCGCCCTGCTGTACGGGTCGAGCCCCGCGGCTGTCAGCCGACGCCGCTCACCTGCGTGTCTTAGACCGCGGCGTGGCTCGTTCGTATGGGGCGGATTGGAGGGCAGGATTACATGGGATTGGGTTCGGAGCTCTGGTACTGTGTTACTGTATACTGCAATCCTTAGGTGCCCGTGCGATCCTGCATTGCCAGACTTTCGCTAGTCGCAGCGCCACCGTAACTCGACAGGCTAGTTGCCTCAACGAGCAGGCAATCCAAAAAATCCCCCTGGAAAAGACCTTCCGGTGGCGTCCGGACAGGAACCCGCAGATGCGGCTGCGAGAGAGAGAAAGAGAGAGAAGGGGCAAGGGCGTTGTGCGAGGGTCCCCATACGGCCCAAACGGCCATCTATGCAATGTTGAAACACACAGGCAGCAAACCTGTCCGAGGAAGAGGCAGAAGGAACGCACCCGCCGAAGAGGGGAGAGGGAGGTCCCCGACCCAACTGCGCGCGCAGGCGCGCGCGAGCACGCCGCGGGGCGGCCCTGCACGTCCACTGCGGTCGTCACGGAGGAAGAGGCAGGAGGAGGAGCACGAGGAGCAGTTGATGGGGCCGGGCCTGAGGCCAGATGGTCCAGGATCTCAGCCAAGGTCAATGCCTCTAGAGTCTGACTCGTCACTACACGGCGCCGGAGTTCTGGTAGGCCCGATGCTCCGACCCTCGATCCAGTGGGGACCGGACTCAAAGCCGCACGAGCCCCAGACTTGCTCCTCACGAGGGGCGACGCCGCCCACGGAGGGCGGAAGGAAGGAGCAAGAGGGGCACGAGGAGGAGCACGAGGAGCACGGGGGAAGAGGAGGCGGATCGAAGGAGTGAACGGCCATGGGCCAGGGGGCCATTCACGAGACTGCAGAGGAAGGAAACCCAGGCATGCGACGCCCCGCTGCTTTCCACCTCCTTTTCCCGTCGCGGCGCGGCAGAGGCAATCCACTCGCACGAGCAGCAACACGGACCAGACTTGCTCCACACGCAGACCCCGGAAGTCCCGACCCGTCCCCCGAGACCTGTTTTTCATCCTGGGTCGTTCCATGACGGCCCCGGGGCACGGCGAGGGCCTCTGCATAGGGGCCGAACGCGGCGAACAACCTCCTGCCTCCTCGGCCCTGGTGCGAAGGTTAGGCGGCGCACCCGGGGGGGGAATTGAGAAGGGGCGGGCCCTCCCAGAGGGCTCGGAAGGCCCCGGGCCTTCTGAGAAGTCCCGCCGCCTTCGCCGAAGACGGAAGAAACTTCTCAGAAGACCAGAGGGTTTCTGAGAAGTCCCGCCGCCTTCCGAGAAGGCCTTCTCTGTCTCACGTCCCCCCCTCGCTCGCCGCCGAAAGGAAACTGGCCCGCCACTGGCATGCCTCCTCGGCCCTGGTGCGAAGGCGGGGGGGCGCCGTCGACCCGCATCCCTCGCCCAGGTGCGCCGCGCGGCAGCGCAAGGCCCCTTCCCAGGCAGCCGCCGCCAGGCTGCCAGGGCCGGCGCTTCGTCCCGAGCCGCACTGAGACTAGAGGCCTCCTAGATGGGGTCCGAGTAGACGGGGTCGAAGGATCGCGCCGCACCGCCACTGCATCGCCGATGTATCGGCGATGCATCGGCGATGCATCGGCGACGTCGGCGAGGCATCGGCGACGTCGGCGTTGGGAAACACGGGCTCCACCCTGAGCCGCACGGTCGATGCATCGGCGATGCGGCGCGATCCTTCGATCCCACCTACTCGGACCCCATCTGGGAGGCCCAGCGAGACGGCCCTGGGGCCTGGCGGGTGCCGCCGGGGGCTGGAAAGCTGAGAAAGGTTGCCGCAGTCAGGCCACGTGAGGTTTGCAGTCCGCGGCCCCAGAGGTCTCGACCACTTCCCCACGGGCCGTGTTCGCCCTGGGCGCGCTCGGATAGCCCCAGGGCCCGAAATAAGACACCAGCTGAGGGGGCGGGCTTGGATAGTCCCAGGGCCCGAAATAAGACACCAGCTGAGGCATGATGGAGCAAAGACGCCAGGGCTGAAGAAGAATCGCGTCGGAGACCTGTGTGGAAGGTCCAGGACCGCCGACGACCGGCGACCCATGGCAGCGACTAAGGCGGCGCTGGACAACCAACGACGACCGACGACCGATCTCTGCCGTGCGCCGTGGCCTTGCACGCGCCTGCCGCCCTGACTGCGCGAAGACGGCCACAACGGCAGCCAGCAGGGATGTGGCTTCCCCCCCAGCCTGGGTCAGGGGATGCGGCCTAGGCCGGGGTAGCGGGTGGGCACGAGAGGGGCGCTCAGCCCAAGGTGTGGCGTCGGGGAGCGCACCCAGCTTTGAGGTGATATTTCCCAGACCTCGACGACAGACAACCGACCGACGGCCGACGACGGCGACCACAGAGGACCGACGGCCACGACGCCGACGACTGGCGAACGGTGGCTGGCGACGGCGACCGACGAACGACGACTGGCGACCGACGACTGGTGACCGATGACTGGCGACCGACCAACGACCGATGGCCGACGGCCGACGGCCGACGACCGACGACCGACGACCGACCTGCGACCGACGATTCGCGACCGACGACCGACGACCGACCGACGACCGGCGATCGATGGCTGGCGGCCGGCGGCGGCCGCTGGCCGGCGGTGACCGACGGCCGACGATCGGCGGCGGCGGTCCTGCGCGAGCGGCTCCGCCGACGGGAGCGGCTGCGCCGGGAGGGCCGGCTGTCCGCGATGGCAGCGGGGCCACGGCCTCCGCGGCTGCCGGGGGGGAGGCTCCTTTTCTGGGCTTGGCGAGGGCGGCGCGGCCACGTGCTCTCCTGTGGGGGGCGGGGAGCGAAGGTGGAAGTGGAGGAGGTAGAGGAGGACGACGAGGGGAGCTGAGGCCAGAACTGGGACTATCTGACAAAATCAAGCTTGGTGCAATGCTGACGTGAGCTCGACATGCAAAACGCAGCGCTCGCACGACCCTCGAGACGCGACCCCTATGTGACCCCGCGACGGCTCCAAGCTGACCCCAACAGGCGACGGACGGCGGCTACGAGAGGACGGCGGCTACGAGGGCAGAGTCTGACGCGCCGCCAACAAAGCCTGAACCTAACGATCCTGGCATAGCATGCCACGCAACGCTCTCACGACCCTCGAGACGCCCAGCGCGCGTCGGGAAGCTCACTCCCTCCCTCCCTCCTCCCTCCTCCCTCCTCCCTCCTGCCTCCTCCCTCCTCTGTCCTCTCCCCTCCCTCCTCCCTCCTCCCTCCTTCCTCCTCTCTCTCCCCCCTCCCTCCCTCCTCCTTCCTCCTCCTCCTCCTCCTCCTCCTCCTCCATCCACCTCCTCCTCCTCTTCCTCCCTCCTCCTCCCTCCTCCCCCTCCTCCTCCTCCTCCTCCTCCCTCCTCCCGCCTCCCTCCTCCCCCTCCCTCCTCCCTCCTCCCTCCTCCCTCCTCCCTCTCCCTCCTCCTCCCTCCTCCTCCTCCCTCTCCTCCTCCCTCCTCTCCCTCTCCTCCTCCCTCCTCCCTCTCCTCCTCCCTCCTCCTCCTCCTCCGCCTCCTCCCTCCTCCTCCTCCTCCTCCTCCTCCTCCTTTCCTCCTCCTCCTCCCTCCTCCTCCCTCCTCCTCCTCTTCCTCTCCTCCTCCCTCCTCCCCTCTCCCCCCTCCCTCCTCCTCCTCCCTCCTCCCTCCTCCCTCCTCTCTCCTCCCTCCCTCCCTCCTCCCTCCTCCCTCCTCCCTCCTCCCTCCTCCCTCCTCCCTCCTCCCTCTTCCCCCCCTCCCCTCCTCCCTCCTCCCTCTCCTCCTCCCTCCTCCTCCTCCCTCCTCCCTCCGTCCTCCGCCTCCTCCTCCCACCTCCCTCCCCTCCTCCTCCTCCTCCTCCTTCCTCCTCCTCTCGACCTCCTTATCCTCCACCATCCTCCTCCATCCACCTCCTCCTCCTCCTCTTCTCCTCCTCCTCCGTTTCCTCCTCCTCCTCCTCCTCCGCTCACCTCCTCATCGTTCTCCTCCTCTCCTCCTCCTCCATCCACCTCCTCCTCCTCTTTCTCTCCTCCTCCACCTCCTCCTGGTCCTCCTCCGCCTCCTCCTCCTCCTCCCCTCCTCCTCCGCCTCCTCCTCCTCCCCGGTCCCTCCTTTTCCTCCTGTTTCCTCCTCCTCCTCCTCCTCCTCCTCCTCCTCCTGATCCTTCTCCTCCTCCCCCCTCCCCCTCCCCCTCCTCCCTCGTCCTCCTCCTCCTCCTCCTCCTCCTCCTCCTCCTCCTCTTCCTCCTCCCTCCCACCGTCTCTCCTTCGTCCCTCGCTCCCTCCCTCTCTCCCTCCCTCACTTCCTCGTCCTCCTCCGGATCTGCCTCCTCATCGTCCTCCCCTTTCCGTTTCCTCCTCCTCCTCCTCCTCCTCCTCATCCTGCTCCTGCTTCTGCTCCTGCTCCTCCTCCACATCCCCTCCTCCTCGAATTACCATTGGTATTCGTCTCACTCGCATTATAAAGTTTCGTCTTCTGCTTCTTCTTATGATCAGTAGCAGTACCCTTCTTATGATTCCATTTTTCCATAGTCAGATGAGTCCTACTATTATCAGTACAAATCCCTTTCGCATTGTTCATGTTGGTGTGCTTACTACTTATAGATGTGACCATATTGTTTTGTTATGTTTCGTTGTCGTATGAGTGTCCTTATTATCGATATTACTCGCATTAGTGTCCGTGTTAGTTTTCGTAGTCTTGTTTTCTTACTGGTATCCTTACTATTATTAGGATGACACGTTTCATTATTCGTAGAATTACTATCACCATCCTTCGTATTAATATTATTAGTTTATTAGTATGCGCAGCATGCTCATCATTCGTATTCATAGTATTCTTAGTATTAGTAGTAATATGTTGTGTTGTTGGTAGTATGGCTTGCCGTATTCGTCCTCTTCCGATTATCGATACTATTCGCAATCATGCTATTAGTGTTGTTGGTATCGTCTCAATGTTGTTTTCTTACCGTTATGGTTTCTGCTCATATGATTCGTAGTATTGCTATTACTAGTAGCATTCGTACTCTTCTTCCTCAAATCCTAGCATTATCATTATTATGATTATGGTTATTAGGATACTTCTTTGTACCCTTAGTATTCGCAATATGTTTCTTATTGGTATGCTTCTTATTCGCATGTTTATGGTTATACTCGTTCCTCCTCCTCCTCCTCTTCCGCCTCCTCCTCCTCCTCCTCCTCCTCTCCTCCTCCTCCTCCTCCTCCTCCTCCCCTCCCTCCCTCCCCCCTCCCTCACTTCCCCCCCCCCTTCCCCCATCCCTCCCTCCCTCCCTCCCTCCCTCCCCCTCCCCCCCCCCTTTCCCTCCCTCCATCCCTCCCTCCATCCTCCCTCCTTCGTTACGTTCCTCCCTCCCTCCCTCCATCCATCCCTCCTCCCTTCTTCTCCTGGTATGTTTCTTCGTCGTTGCTTATTAGTATCAGTAGAAGTCTTGTTCTTAATGTTACATGATGAAGATGATGATGATGATGATGATGATGATGATGATGATGATGATGATGATGCTTCGCCTTGTTATGTTCAAAAATTCGTGGTGATCGTTTGATCATTCGTATTGGTATTAGTCCAGGTACTCGCGTGATTGTTCATAGTATGATTAGTATTCGCATTAATTTTAGTTTTGACCGTATTTGTTATATCCTATGCGTATTCATAGTAGTGTTCTTCTTCGTGTCATTATTCTTCTTCATAACATTTTACTCTTGTTAATCGCAGTGTTATTATTCGCAGTAGTGTTATGACTGCGATTCTTCTTCTCAGTATTATTAGGGTTAGTACGTTCTTCGTCTTACTATCGTTACTACGGCTATTATGATTAGTGGCAGTAGTATTAGTAGTAATAGTAGTCGTCGTCGTCTTATGCTTCTTCTTGCTATGCTGGTTTCTAGTCCTAGTCGTCGGGTATCACTATGAGTGGTGCTCGTCTTTTTCTTCGTGCTATTCTTACTAATAATAATAATATTAGTCCTCGTCGAATGATTGTTATTACTATTCGTATTAGTACGGGTATTTGTTTTAGTGGTATTATTACTAAAACAACAATATGTTGATTTTTCCTTCGCCGTAATGTCACGAATACTGTTATCAAGATCGGTACTAGTATTACTATTAGTAAGATCATTCGTATTATTCATTACTATTAGCATGATTCATATTCTTATCATTAAGAGTATTATGATGCATTGTCGTGCTATTGATATTTTCATTCCAAAAAATTAGGTGTAGTAGTTTTGCCCGTCGTGTTCGTGATTTCCCAATTTCTTCTAATAGGCTTATTCGTCGGATTATTCGAACTACTATGTGTGTATTATTTTTCTCTGTATTACTACTTGTACTCCCACGATTTAAACGAACGATGCTGATACTGATAATCGTGCGAACAATAATGTCAGCAATCAGTTATTATCACAAACGGCAACACGAGTAGCATTCATACAAAGAGCAAAGTAAACTTACGGTTGGTAATGCGATGGTTGCTGATATCTCTGGTTCGTTTTTCTTCTTGTCATCCGTGGTCAGTACTATTCCTCCTCCTCCTCCTCCGCCTCCTTTTCCTCCTCCTCCTCTTCCTCCTCCTCCCCCTCCTCCTCCTCCTCCTCCTCCTCCTCCTCTGCCTCCCGCCGCCCCCATCTTCCTCCTGCCCCATCCGACTGGGGAGGCCTGTGCAGAGGGAGGAGCGGGGACGCCCGCGGAGGAGCAGCGGGTGGGCAGCCGCCGGTGCGTTCGGGCCTCCCCCCTGCTGCTCGGCGTTCTCCGTCGCCCCGAGGTCGCTGTTGCCGACCTTTCGGGCGGCGGACCGCCCCCGCAGAGGAGCGGAGGAACGGGGCGAAGGATCGAGGGGAGGATCGAGGATCGAGGGGAGGAACGGGGCGAAGGATCGAGGGGAGGATCGAGGGGAGGATCGAGGAGGGGGATCGAGAGAGGGGGATCGAAAGAAGAGGATCGAGGGGGAGATCAAAGTGAGGGGGGCCGATGGGGGGGGGGGAGGGGAGGATCGAAGGGGAGATCGAGGGATCGAGGGGGGGGTCGAGGAGGATCCAGGAGGAGGATCGAGCGGAGGTCGATGCATCGATGGGGGGGTCGGAAGGACGAGACGAGACGAGACGAGACGAGACGAGACGAGACGAGACGAGACGAGACGAGACCAGACGAGACGAAACGTGTCCGCCAGCAGGCGGGCCCCTCAGGAGCGGCGAGGGCGGGTCGGGACCTGGTCAGATGTGCGCGTGTGCAACGTAATCCTTCTCCCAGCTGTTCCACAATGTCGGGTCTCCAACAACATCCAACCACGTCATGGTAGTATCCACAATGTTAGATCGCACAGATTGTGCAATGTGCAATGTCGTCTCTCCACCTCTTTCGCTGCGCTCCGCGTCTGCGCGTCGCTTATCTGGCGTCGTGGGCTCCCACGCTGCAGCAAGTCTGGTCCACCTGTGGTGGGATTGTGCTGCGATTCGCCCTGCCCATCGCGATTTGCACTTGCGGTAGAGGGTCGTCCAGTCGTCCACTTTGAAGCGCGTTGCTAGATCTGCAGCTGCGCGGGTAGTCTGACGAATGGAATCCTCACACGGTTCTAGGTCGGAGTCATATTCGACGACGTCGCCGTGAGTATGTGCGTTGGTGTCGTTGGCGTTCGTGCAGTCACTTGCGGTCGGGATGTCGTCGCGCTGGTCAAGGTCGGGGTTGGCGTCGCTACTGGTGTCGGAGCTGCGTGTTGCTGGCGCTCCTCATCTGGGTATGTTCACGATGAGTCGCAGCATGCGTCGTCAGATGCGACGCAGTGGGAGCAAGTCCGACGTGATGGTCCACGGGGTGCAGCCGTGCAGCACGTTTGGCGACACCGTGCCACTGAATAGCCAGAGTATGGTGTTCAAGGGCTACCGTTACTTTGTCAGCTCGTCGCGGAGTTGGTGGAACTTCTGCCATCCCACGGTAGTTATGTAGTAGAGATCAATGCAGTGGTAGTCGTGTAGTGTCAGTTCACGTCCAAGATACTTCGTGTTTTGCTCGGTGCTGGTGCTTCCGATGTTATCGCCGTCGATGTCAGCGTGCATTGTTGTTCGTCCTCGCGGCCTGCTCGTATATGTGAGCAGACGTGGCCTTGTGGTGCAACTCGAATCCGCCGCGTGCTTGGACTCACGGACGATTCACTTGAGTTGACATAAATTGGGTGCCACAAGCAACGCGTCGCCAGCAAACCACATATTGATCAGACGAGTGGCTCTTGCGTGCCCCACTTGTAGAACAAAGCCTTTCGGACTCCAAAAAAACTTGGTTTTCTGGAACACCTGCTCCAGCACTGCGTTGAAACAGTACGAACTGAGTGGGTCGAATTGCTTGACGCCGCGCTCGATGTTGAAGTCTCTGCTGTTGACGTTTGTCCTCACCGTGGCCGTCTGCTCGCTGTAGAACTGTTACAGTCCGTTGATGTATGGCGTTTGGCAGTTATGCTTCCATAGTGCTTCCCACGTGCACTGATAGTCCACGCAGTCGAACACTTATGCGAAGTCGATCGCAGCTGCACAAAACTTGAGTTGCCACTCGTAAGAACAGAACTGCTGTCGTGAATCGGTGGTCTTATGTGCTGTAGCTCTTGCGCAAGCCAGCTTGGCCTGGTGATGGTTGTGAGTCGAAGAGTGCCACTGGACGGTCGCAGAGCTGTCGGGACATTAGCTTGCACAGCAGCGGTATGATTGCGATTGGCCTGCGTTTTCGGGCTGTTATGGGTCACCAGACCGAGGATCGGGGGAGGTCGAGGATCGACGGGCGAGGATCGAGGAGGATGGGAAGGTCGAGGATCAAGGAAAATCGAGGTCGAGGATCGAGGAGGATCCGGGGCGACGGTCGAGGATCGAGGTGGATCGAGGATCCGGTGCGAGGGTCGAGGAGGATCTAGGTCGAGGATCGAAGCCGAGGACCGATCGAGGATCGAGGTTGTGGTCTGTAGATGGAGAGGTCGAGGATCGAGGAGGGTCCGGGGCGACGGCAGGAGGACCGGGGCAGGGGCAAGACTGGAGCCGCACCTCTGCGGCCCCGCCCCGCAGATCCAGAGAGACCGCGCTCCCAGAACGGGACGCACAGAGACATACTAACACTCCTTCTTGGAGGCGCGAGTCCGACCCGAACATGTGGTATACCCATATTGTAGTATATCGTTTCCCGAGCGGTGTGGCCAGAAAGCGCCTGCAACGACGCATGTACTCTAGGATTTCTCGGTGCGCGCATCGCACCAGCGGGGGGGGCGACGCACACGTAGTAGTAGTAGTAGTAGTAGTAGTAGTAGTAGTAGTAGTAGTAGTAGTAGTAGTAGTAGTAGTAGTAGTAGTAGTAGCAGTAGCAGTAGCAGTATCAGTAGCAGTAGCAGTAGCAGTAGCAGTAGCAGTAGCAGTAGCAGTAGCAGTAGCAGTAGCAGTAGCGTAGCGTAGTAGTAGTAGTAGTAGTAGTAGTAGCAGTAGCAGTAGCAGTAGCAGTAGTAGTAGTAGTAGTAGTAGTAGGAGTAGGAGTAGGAGTAGGAGTAGGAGTAGGAGTAGTAGTAGTAGTAGTAGTAGTAGCAGTAGCAAGTAGTAGTAGTAGTAGTAGTAGTAGTAGTAGTAGTAGTAG